ATATTTTCTAGCCTGTTTTCTAAGGAAGGTGTTGGAAGGCATGTTGCTTTAAACATGTTTTGTCTAAATGGCTGCCTTAATGAATATGAAATCTTAAGGGTCAGAGGACACATTGTGCAGCTCTAAAGTAACTGATTATAAAGGATAGGCAGGAAGATTTAATACCTTAGTTATCAAGTACAAGTTATCTTTCTAAAGCTAACACCCTCCCCCTCCCCCCTAAACACAGCAATTTTCATCCATGCTCAACAGTTTAAAGAAAATACAGTTAGGAATCAAACTGGTACTGTAGTTTATTGAGACTGAAATTAAGAGTAAATGAAAAACAAATTGTCTTCTTATTTTTTCTCAAACAATTTAAAAATCTGTGTGTGTGTGTGTGTGTGTGTGTGTGTTACACTGGAACACTTCAAGCTATATCAACCAAACTTGGTACACAGATGACTTACTCTGGAGAAAAATAATGTGGGGGTAAAACACCCCCAACACCCCTCGGTGTGTGTGTTCTGTTAAGATGCAGCCTGTTGTGCCTTTCAATGGCTTCTACTGTACTGCCATAAAATGACTTTTACTGTACAGTAGAGTTGCCATGGTAATGGCTTCACGGTACTCCACAAGGGGCTCCCTCTCGTAAGGGGGAAAATCCAACCTTAGAAATTATGTTTGGTCGGGACATTTCCCCACTATTAATAAATACCTGGGCAACCCTAGGACATCGGCTAGTTATAAAATAAAATTCAAATAGGAAGACACTGTGGGGAGGAGAAGGTGAAAGAAAAGTGAGGGGGGAGGGAGAAAAGAAAAAAAACATTGACTTCCGACTCCCTTTGTTGTACTAGAATAAACATCGAACCTCAACTTTTTATTTTTCCATAATAATATAAACTAGCCATTTCTATAACAACAAATCAATCTAATCAGCAAAACCCAAAATCAAAGTTTCATCCCCCCCCCCAGCACAAAATCCAGAAGCAGTCTCCATGCAGTAACCAAAGTACTTAATATTCTTTTCTGTGATCAAAACGGTCAATTTAGCCATCTCTGCCAACTCCCTCAGCTTCTATAGTCATTTTCATCCATGGTGGGAATCGAAATGCCCTTCCATTTTTGTGACAAATTGTCTTCTTTAAAAAAACCTAGAGAGAATGCAAAGTGATTACAAAAGAGTTTTCTTTTTGTTGGGACTCTTGGAAGTTAAAAGCAATGGGAGCTGCATATTGTTGTAGGGCCACAGGTTGTCCACCTATAGATTACCTAGAATTTGTATGAGCATGATCAATAAATGATTTATTACATCTGCTAAGAGGCAAATTATGATTCAAAAATTATAAATTAGGTCTCTAATTCTGGACAAGTTTGTACATTTAAAATAGCATAATGGCATGATTGAGGGACTCCCAGTCTCAATATGTTTTTTTCCCATCTGGTGAAATTAGCTGAAGTGGGCATGCTCCAGGTCCAAATTACCGACCAGTTCGACTACCTTGGTTGGTAATTTATATTGAGGAATGAACAAGGAACCCTATTCTCTGTGTCTTCTCAGAAGATCCCAGTAAAAAAAAAAACCTGTTACAGTATTCCCTGACTTGTCAGGTGTGGTAGGCTTCTAATTCTCTGTCTTGTTTTCTGATCTACTGATCCTGTGTTTTTTGTTGGTAATAGTTGGATTGTTGTACACCATCCAGAGACACTCTCTATGAGATGGGCAGCATATAAATTTGATTGATTAATACATTTTCTGGTTTCTGGTTAGTTGCCTTTTTCACAGTCTGATCTGTAATATCTCCAATATATATGGGATTATGATGGTTTAGTGTGAGATAGACAGACTGATAATGAGATTAGATATAAGTGACAAAATGCTACGTTTTTGCCTTCCTTTCTTGAATGCTTGGTAACCCTTTCCAACTATTCAGACATTGATAGTGCTATTGTTACCGAAGACTGAAATCACCAAATCTTCCTACCCAACTCTCTCATATTTCAAAAATAACATTTTGCAAACTCTTGAATAAACAGGAAGGGTATGGGGTACAGCAAATGCTCTGTTCTCCAAGAATAGCTTAGGTGAAATAAGAATGTGTGGCAAGGATGGATTGAAATATTCTCTCAATCACATGTTATTGTTAATGAAGGAGTTCCTTACCAGAAGTTTATGAATAACAAATATTCCTTCTCCAAATGCTAGCACAGTAGGAAGAAAGATCATGCTTGATGTAGCTTATAAGAAATCAGTAACTTTTATAAGTACCAAGCTTCAGAAAAGTTAATTATTTTTCTGCTCCTACACTACATTAGCACTGCATTATGATGCTGGGTTAGGTAAGTGAAATCTTACATCCTCAGTAGATGGAGGAAAGCAGTATATTTTTGGATTCAGTTGTTCTTCCTACTGTTTCAGTAGTAGTTTTAATATATTTTTTAAAAAATTAAGAGAAGTGATTTTCTCTTTCTTTTTTCTTTCTTTCTTTCTTTCTTTCTTTTTTCTTTCTTCCCTCCCTCCCTTCCTCCCTCCCTCTTTCTCTTTCTTTCTTCCCTTCCTCCCTCCCTCCCTCCCTTCTTTCTTTCTTTCTTTCTTTGTTTCTTTCTTTCTTTCTCCAGAATTCTGAACGTTAACAAAATAATTAAACACTTTCTATTTCAAGTAAAATAAAACAGAAACATAACATTGTAATTAAATAATAGAGGCAATCAAGTTTTACAAACAATATAACAAATTTTTGCCACATCAAAGCAAACAGAATCATACTAGTCTGAATGAAATAGCTTTATATAAAATGAATCCAGATAGTCGAAGAAATAAGGAAGACTTGGTCCTTGCCTCCTTATAGAAGTTGCGTTATGGTACAAAATGGCCAATGAATTCAATGGATCCTTCTTTACAATGACACATAAGAAAAATAAGGAAACAAGAAATTCATGTTCTCATCCTTTCTGTAGAATTAAGTGGAGTTTTAATCCAAAATTTATTATCACAAATAAGACTTTATAGTCAGACATTTTTCTTGTTCATTTTCTTGATAAAGAATAATTGAGAGTTACTTTTTCCAGATAAGCAGAATTGTCTGTTTAAAATTGGTTTTGCTTATCCTTTTTTCTTATTATGGAATATTGAATTGTACTGTGCAACTGTTTGATAAAATGAAATCCTTAAAATTAAAAGTAAATAACTTCTGCAAACGTTCTATAGAAGCTAAAGAATATAATTAATTTTAAAGGTTCAATTTGGAGGAAGCTTACAGAGAAAATAATTTGAAACAATAGAAAATTGCAATACATTCTGGTGAAATGTTTGTCAAGTCACATGACCACTAATTGAGAGGGACGGGGGATGAAGCTGCAAAGATCACTGGTGTACCTTGTTGTAAACAAGTAGTTGTAAACTGATAGTATAAAGAAGATGAAGGAAGATTTTTTTTTTTTTTTAGTCTTGCAAAATGTAGCTATTAATGTAGCTTTACAATAAAATAGAATTGGCTCATCTTGTGTTTCTTTTCTGGTTTACATCGTAAACTTCAATCTTGCAAGTCTAAAAATGCATATCTTCTTACCTCCACCCAACCCAGTCTCTTTTACAGTCCAATAAAACTAGGGTGGGTCTATTCTGATCCTTTTGCCCCACCCACTATGTTGTGGTATATGCTGTCTCTTCTTTGACTGTTCTCTTGCTGGTGTCTCTTTGCCCACTTTCCCAATACAGTTACAGATAGATAGACAGACAGACAGACAGACAACAAACAAATGGGGTTCTTGTGCGACAAAGGATCTCAAATACGATTTATTTTCTAATCTGCTGGATATATTCATTTAATATATTCATTTATTGATCCCTTAAGCTAATGATAGAGCATAGACAAATTGAGAGAATAAATCAGACCATTATTAGACTTGGAACTTCAATTCCTTCAGTTTCAAATAAAGTAAAAGTAAAATAATTTATCTGCATATAAAGAACTTACCCTATATCTTTGGATTTATATTACATGAAATATATTTGCATATTTTCTGAAATATATTTGTTTAGCTGTTAACCTCTTACAAATCAGAAACCTGTTTATTTTAGAATGTGCTGCTTTTTAATTTTTCCCAGTGGGGAAGTTCTTGCACTATATGAAATTGTGCCCTTATTTTCTCTTTATTTTTTATCTCTATAGAGATAAACATTAACATGTTTACCATAAAAACAAATCTTGAAAAAGATAATGGTTGGATGATTTCTATAGCCATAGATCCTGATTTTCTTTTTAAATACAAGAACTTTATGAAATCTTTTTTGAACAGTATTCCATTAAGCCCATAATCTTAACTTCCTATTATACATTATCTTAACCTCCCAAATTAGAATAGTATTGCATTGTGTCTAATGTTTAATTGGCAGATTAAAAATTATGGGAACATCTGTATTCAGATTATTCCGTCTGCCACGATCCACTCAGTAAGTACATTTCATATAAAGCACAAAATGTATATCATAAATTGGCCATGGAGTTCCCTTAGCCTTTAAGTTAAATAACTATGAAGTTGCTGACGTGGCAGTTGGGAAGCTATCTCTAACCATGTACCTGTGTATTTTTTGGCTATGAAAAATAAGGAATGCCTTTTGACTGTTCTTAAATCAAGGATGAAAATGTTTTCTATTGGGTTTTAATTGCTAAGTCGTCATTTTTGGCTGTGAAACAAGAGAAAAATTCTCTGAAATGTAAATATCCCAATAACTGTATATCAGCAAAGAAACAGCATGCACATGCTCATGCTTATATAGTTTCTAAATGAATTTCATAGTTTCAATTCTAGGCAAGTCGAAAAGTGGACCATTTTAAAATATAAAATGAAAAGAAAGCTTCGTGTTTCAATTTTGTTCCCATTTTTCTATTTAGAGCCATATATTCTTACAACTGTTCACTTTAAGTTTTCTCTACTAATATGCTACTGTGAATTACAATATTTCTATTGGCCCTTGATAACCTTCACGTATAGCATAACATTCTTCTCCTTTTCAGGGCTATCATCAACCACTTCAATCCAAAGATAGAATCCTATGCTGCTGTTAATCACATCTCACAGCTCTCTGAAGAACAGGTGAGTTGCATACTTCTTTTCTAGTGATACCCAGGTCATTCTTGATTATACACTGTAGTCTGGAAATGACTATTCCCCCATCTAGCTGAGACAAAACTAGTTTGGTAGCAAAGCATATACTTACCAAACTGTCACTATAGCGGTTTATAAGCAGGAAATGGAACTTCAGATGCTACACAATTATAATCCTGGAAAGCAGCATGTCAAATAAGACTTTCTCAAGAATGATTTAGAATTGCATAAGGGTGGCAGTGGAATCAAAATGTTCTCCTTCGTAAGGTATTGACAGGTACTATTAGAGCAATAGAAGGGATGCTGCTTTATTCTGGTAGACAAAAGTAAGACATAGTAGTAAATGTAGTGTTTTCGTGATTAATGAATTCACTAAACCAGGGGTCAGCAACCCAAGGCTCTGGAGCAGCATGTGGCTCTTTCATCCCTCTGCAGTGGTTCCCTGTCGCCAGTCGGCTCCACAATTATTAGGGCTTTTGGTTAGGACAGGTAGAGGAAAAAGGATGCCTGCTAGAAGGAGACTATGGTGGGAGAACCGGACTTCCGGTCGGCTCTAGAATTGAATGGGGGGCTTCCGGTTAGGACCTTTGTGGCTCTTTGAGTGTTTAAGGTTGCCGACCCCTGCACTAAATCTTAAATATCTATTTAAAATATGTATAAGTACATCTCTGACTGGAAATATTTTTTCATAAGAGTTACTGGGATTACTGTTTGGTTTTTTTTTTCATAATTTGGCCTAGTTTCTCTCTGCCCAATGCAAGAAACGAAAAGAAGTTGAGAGAAGAAAAAATGGGCAACTGTGTTGAAATACCATCTGCAGAAAAGTAATGGGGTTTTGTGTATTGCAGACTAAGGCAGCTACTTGTCATAGGCTAGCTCCACTTTTTTCTACTGTAATTAATGATTGAGATGTTCTACATCAAAGTGTCAAACTAGCAGCCCGTGGACCATGCCCACCCGGCCTCTGCAAAGGCAAAAAAGTCACGATACATCATGGTAAGGCATGTGATGCGATTGAGTTTGACACCCGTGTTCTACAAGAAGTGACTAAAGTAAAAGGCAGCTGATGGCAGATCCTCATTCCTGATGGTTCAGTTTATGGAATTGCAGTTCAGAACAAATAAAAAGGGTTGCTTTTTTTTGAAGCCAGATTTTACTCCGGGTGGCTCTGTGGAAAAGTACACATAGAGGTTTTTCTTAACAATATGAACATGATTTCTCATTGTCACCTTCTGGATCCCCCCCCCCTTCTTCAACTTTAACGGTTAGCCCAGCATACTTTTTTATGAAAATTTAACATGTTTAATTTGCCAACTCTGGCAAATTGTGCTGGTCCTACTACTGTTTTCAATGATGTTGTGTTTTACAGAACCTCGAAACTGTTAACTCATGCATAGAGAAGCTTTTTTTAAAAAATCCTTTAATTATTTATAGTATTTGAAAATGGCTGGGAGGACTGATCGTGGGAGGTTTCCTTACCATTATTTGCTTTAGACACCTAGTTGTAAGAAAGAGCAGCGGCAGCTTCTCTCTGTCACTATACCACAGCATTCATCTGCAGTAGTTCAGGGAGGTCAGGCTGAATTCTTTCTTCGCCATATGCCTGTGCTTTAAATAAAACCATCAGCAGTAGCAGCAGCAGCAGGTGGCAGGTAATGAAATCAGCTTTGATACATAGAACAGTTTGAGGAGAGATTATTAGGAAGCAGAGAAACAGTTTGGCTTCCTATTTCAAAGAGAAGTATTATCCTAAATTGGCAGAAATGCTTATCCATAAAACAATAACCAAGGAAGAGAGGAAATAAGTTAAAGAAATGTTAAGTGGTAGCCAGCTTTGGTTTTGCAAATTAAAGCTTTGGCTTAGGTGCCAAATTTTAACCAAATATAGAAATGTCTACTTTTCTTATGTTACCTTCCATTTCATATACTGTGTAATTTGATTCCTAACTTGGATCATATTTGTTTTAAAATACCTTTTTAAAAACTAGCAAGTAGACAGTTACAGAATAAAGTAGACATCCTGTGACTCATTGGGTCATCCTTTCACAAACCCTTATCTAAACAGAGAAACGGAATGACCACAGACAAGCAAAAAGAAATAGTGGGAGTGGGAACAACTTCCATTTTTGTGCTATAGGTAGACTATGTGAATAGTTTGTAATTTATGTTACTGCACCAATTCTAACAAAATAGTTAATTGTAATGAAGTCAAGCACCACTTATGAGATGTGAATTCTCTTTAACTTGTTTTATACAAGTTTTAGCATAGCTGGCTGGGCAATTTGGAAACAAATTAATAATAATACTGTAAACCATCAAAGAGAAAGTGTCACTTGGTGCTTGATAGAGCATCTAATTAAGAAGGAGGGGCAGGCATAGAGAAATCATATTTCAGAGAAAGAACTTGGCATTGCCATGCAGTTGTTGAAAAACCCTGCTCCTATATTCAGTGTAGAAAAAAGAAATAGAAATTCTAATCTGCCTTTGTTGATCAAACTGTTCCAGGATTTTCATATTTTGTGTTATAAAAAACTGACCTTCAATTAGACATTAAAACTTCTTAGTTGGAGTCAGAATATCAAGTTTATCAGTTAGAAGACAACCTGTAGAATTTTGTTAAGATTCTGAAGCTTTGTATCTGAGTTATTCTTTGTTTTATTCTTCCTATTCTCTTTGGCATTCTGTTTGTTAGTTATAAAACCAAAATGTTACGAGGAACTTGCTTGTTTCTAAATGAACTTTGACCTTGAGGTTTAAAGGGAAAGAATCAAAAGTCAACTTCAACACTTCCTCCATGCTGTGAGAACCCTTACATTTATCCACTGATCTGTCTTACTTCCTGCAAGTGAAATCTACATCAATATTTATTTATTTGTTTACAGTTATTTGCATGCTGTCTATCCAGTTAGTCCTAGGTAATTATAATTGCAGTTCTGTTTGATTTTTCCACAGATGTGCCATTGCGGGAACAGTTGATAAGAAAACTTATGTAAATAATTGAATTATTAACCATCGAGCCTTTAAGTGATTCTTCCATATTCCACTGAAATAGTCTAATTTTTCTGGCTAGGGAACTTGTTCAAAATTTCATTCAGGTTTCTGAACTTCGTATTAAGAATTGCTTCCAATTATCTCTACTGTGTCCACAGTGCAGACTTTTTCAGTTACATAATATATGGGTCATTGTGTATCTTTGGTTGCCTCTTCTCTCCTTTTGCATTCTGGCAGAGTGCTCATGGCAGGGTAATTGAGTTTGATTCTAAGAATGACTTGGTGAGTTTGTTGATATTTTCTCAGAGGATGGTGAAATCATGTAATTGTATAATAGCAGAATATTAAATGCTGAACAGCCTTTAAATATGCATACAGATCATATTTTGTCCATATCTAGTTTTACAGCAGTACAACTAACGTAACTGAAGGTAAAGTAACTTAAAGATGTCCAGGAATGGTTAATTCTGCATCATAACATTTTTCTTTTCCAGGCTATTTAATAGCAATTTTTAATTTCTTCTGATACGATTATAGATCTGGTGTGTTTCTTTAAAGTCACTGTTTATTGTTATGTTGTAAGAGTTCTATTACTCTCAGTAGTCTGTCTTTTGTATGTAGCACTAGCACTTTTTAAAACCTTTTATCCATTTGCTTTCATCCTTTTATTTCAAACATTCTCTCCCTCCCCCCCCAAAAAAACCCTTTCCAAAACTCCGTTTGCAAAACTGCTCTTGTACTCAGATTCTCCACTATTCTATACTGAGCTGGGAATGTACAAAGGCCCCTGACAGAAATAGGTAAAAATGAAATAATTGTTCTAAGTACCTCTTGGATGGTTTAAGCAGAAATTAGCATGGCTATATAAACCAAATGTATTTTGATTGAGTCTTCATGCACAATATGTATGTAGGTATGTCGCTTTATAAAATATGTATTGATGCCATTAATAAATTGCATTATTCAGACATATTCAATACACAGAAACAGATGCAGGAAGTAAGTTGGCACTCATCATTAACTACATCCTGTCCTTACACCTATCAAAATTTCATAAGTGTCTGGCGTTTATGATATATGAAGACATTATTAGAATCCTAACCTTTGTCATCAGGGTTTAAATACGAGGCTAACTGATTGTGTTGGACTGCTGAAGTAGCAGTTTTGCATATTTATATATTTATTTATAGTATGCCTAGTGCTCATTTACAGTTGTGGTAGCACATCCAAATTCAATAATATATTTTGATTGCTTTGGAGCATTAATTGTATCCAGGAAATATACTTCCTTAACAGGAGAGAGAGAGTTAAGCCTGAGTAATTGCTTTAGTGCATTTTAGTGCTTTCCATTAAATTTAACGTGCCAAATGCATTAAAACAAATGTCAGTGGAACAGAATGAAATGGCAAAAGAACCATTTCTGAGCTAAGATTGTTTATGGTGTACCAGGAGGAATTTCATTTTTATTTGCTAGGAAGAAGTGATCCCAATCATGCCACTCTTCTCCTAATTGTTTCAGCTATGTATTAACTGCACAAAACATTGTAGCTATTTATGGTAACCTATTCTTTAATTTTATCAGGGTGATTTGCATATATCAAAGAGAAAATGATAGGACTTAATTATGCCAGTTAGAAAGCATATACAAGCTTTTTTAATCCCATCATTATTTTTATAAATTTACTCAATGCAGCCCACATCCTTCCTTCTCCTCTTTGCCTCACAACAAGCACCAACCCAAGTGAATTGGGTTGAGAGAGAGTAGTTGGCCAGTATCACCCAGCCAGCTTTCACTGCTAAAATGGGATTCAAAGACTCCTGATTCCTGGCTTAATCACTAGGTGAAACTGGCTCTCTTAGTGTAGTAGCAATGTTAGTGTAATAATTTTTTTTTTAAGTACTGATAATCAGAGAAGTAGAGCATAGATCCAAGTACTAGCTACTTCTACATTTCCATTGCTAAATATTCTTACTTTTAATATTTATACCTAAATAAA